AGTATTATGTTGCAATTTAATGTTATCAGAACAAATCAGCCCTGAGTACAGTTCAGCAAGGAGAAATATAAGTAAGGAAAGGGAGAAAGACAAGACAATTCTATGTTGCTAAGAACTTCAGCATAAAATATATAAAAATATAACAAACAAACAAATAAATATTTATATTTACATTTACATTTATAAAAATATACAATAGTACAATAGTATTTTTAAAACCTGCTCCTTTTCATTTCACTACGTGTGAAGAAGGCTGAAAGATTTAGCAGTATTTACTTTTAGAAAAATTATTGAAAGATAATAATCTTTGGATGTCCTTTAAGAATGCTGACACTTGAAGAACCAAATGAGTTAGAATATAGTGAGTACTAAAGAAATGAAATATGATATAGTTGAAATGAGTAATTAGCTTAATTTTGATTCCTTAAGGGTCTGAATTCTGTTAATGACTTTCTATGATAAGTCATTCATGAAGCTCAGGAGTGAAGGGTGTGAAAGAGAGTACAGGCACAGACACAGAAGCCAACTGTATCCTGAGCTGCATCCCAAGCAGTGTGGCCAGCAGGGTGAGGGAGTGATTCTGCCCCTCTGCTCTGTGCTGCTGAGGCCTCACCTGCTGTACCATGTCCAGATGTGGAGTCCTCAGTACAAGACTCATGTGGAACTGCTAAAAAGTGTCCCGACAGGGGCCACAAAAATGATCCAAGGGATGGAACACCTCTCCTACAAGGACAGGCTGGGAGAGCTGGGGCTGTTCAGCCAGAAGAAGAGAAGGCTCTGGGGAGATCTGAGGGTGGCCTTCCAGTATGTAAAGGGTGGCAATTAGAAAGAAGAGGACAGACACCTTAGCAGGTTCTGTTGTGATAGGACAAGAGGAAATTCTTTCAAACTCAAAGAGGGGAGATTTAAACTGGAAATAAGAAAAAAGCACTGGAACATTTTGGCCAGAGAGGTGGTAGCTGTTCCGTTCCTGGAGACGCCCAAGGTCAAGCTGAATGGGGCTCTGATCAACCTGATCGAGCTGTACATGTCCCTGTTTGTCATAGGGGAGTTGGACTACATGTACTTTAATAGTCCCTTCCAACTCAAACATTTCTATGATTCTATGATTGTATGAGATTTGGTAGTTCAGGTGCTGCTGAAGTTAAAAGTATAAAATAGATAAGTTGTTTCATGAATCTAAATCTTTTAAACAAAGCTTGTTTCTGCTTGTTCCCACCTAAGGATCAGGAGGACGTTAAGCTGATTGCACTGCTGATTGGTCATCATTGTAACTCTAAAGCTTTGCACAAAGCTGGCTGTTTGCTAACTTGCACATTTACTGATTTGAAGGTGTGTCCTTTCTTTCTTTATATGATATCCTGCCACCTAAATATAGTTGAGCATTTTGTTCTTCATTGTTCCAACTGAGCCCTCACACAGGCCTCATTTCTATTGCCACCCTGCAAAAGACTGGAGAAATTTCAGCAGCCCTGAAGAGGCAGCACAATGGCAAATGAAGTTTACACAAGGTAGAGGAAGTACAGACGACTCACATCTTGCACATGATGTGGTAACAATACTGCTTCCAGAAAAATGGTTCTAGGTCACCCTGCCTGAGTGGGGCATAGTACAAGATGGCCTCACAAGGTCCCTCCCAGCTTCAGCTGTTCTGTGAAAAAAACACAGCTATTAATTTAGGCAGTACAGTGTGTGGCTCTGATCAACAAGGTGTTTGTCTGATATACATAGAAATCACACAACCTGAGCCAAAATGTGCACAGACCTGATCACCAGAGGTGGGCTAACTGAGGATAGTGCCCACCAAGCCACTCTCACTCTCCATCTTTAACAGGACAGGAACCTAAAGGACTGCAATATTAGGCAACATTTAGAGACATGGAGGGCATGGACAAAGAAAAAAAAAAAAAAAAGAAAAAGAAAAAAAGGAAACTAATGAATTAGAACTTTTAACCTAAGACATGAAATAAATAAGAAGAGATTCAAACATGCAAGCCTGAGGCTTTGGAGGAAGAACAAACAAGAAAATAAATAAACCAGTCCTTTCTGTAAAATGTCTTCCTTGGGCAGCAAGCATTACTTGTGTCTTCATACGTGATTCCCTATGAAAAGCACATCAATGATAAGTGATTAATGAATAGCAATAACCAGTCAGTAAGAAAGGACAGCCGGTGATTGGAAGTGACTAACTAAAATTAAGTGGTGACATTTCAGCATACAGCAGCTTAAACTGCTGCTGGTCATACACTGGACTTGACAGAAAGCACTAGCAAAGAAAGTATTACTTAAGGAGGTAAGGATCTGCCGCCTGCCCTAAGAAACCAGGGGACAGCTCTAAATGACTACTTTAGGAAAACAGTAGTTGCTCTTGGCCTTCCTTTACTTTCCTCCTTTCAAAGTTCTGTCTTGTTACACCACATGATTTCTTGTTTCTAAGTAGTCTTCTGAAGGGCATCCTGGCTTGCATCAGAAACAGTGTTGCCAGCAGGAGCAGGGCAGTGATTGCGCCCCTGTACTCAGCTCTGGTGAGGCTGCACCTCCAGTACTGCGTCCAGTTTTGGGCCCGGCAAGAAAGACTACCGAGACATTGAGGCCCTGGAGTGAGTTCAAAGAAGGGCAACAAAGCTGGTAAGGGGTCTGGAGCACAGGGCTTATGAGGAGCAGCTGAAGGAGCTGGGATTGTTCAGTCAGGAGGAGGCTCAGGGGAGACCTTACTGCTCTCTGTAACTACCTGAAGGGAGGGCTGGGGGTTGGCCTCTTCTCTCGTGTAACTGGTGATAGGGCTAGAGGGAATGGCTTCAAGCTGTGCCAGGGGAGATTCAGGCTGGACGTTAGGAAATGCTACTTCTCTGAAAGAGTGGTCAGGCACTGGGATGGGCTGCCCAGGGAGGTGGTGGAGTCACCAGTGCTATTCAATATATTCATCAGTGACTTGGATGAGGGAGCAGAGCGCGCTGTTAGCAAGCTTACTGATGACACAAAACTGGGAGGAGTGGCTGACACGCCTGAGTGCTGCCACTCAGCGAGACCTGGACAGGCTGGAGACTGAATGAAATATAACAAGGGCAAGTGTAGAGACTTGTATCTGGGCAAGAACAACCCCAGGTACCAGTATAGATTGGAGACTGACCTGTTGGAGAGCAGCACAGGGGAAAGGGACCTGGCCGGTCCTGGTGAACAGCAGGGTGACCACAAGCCAGCACTGTGCCCTTGTGGCCAAGAAGGCCAATGGCATCCTGGGGCATCCTAGAAGGGGCATGGTTAGTAGATGGAAGAGGTTCTCCTCCTCTTCTACTCTGCCCTGGTGAGACCGCATCTGGAGTATTGAGTCCAGTTCTGCGCCCCTCTGTTGAAGAAGGACAGGGAACTGCTTGAGAGTCCAGCACAGAGCCACAAAGATGATGAAGGGACTGGAGCATCTCCCTTATGAGGAAAGGCTGAGGGACCTAGGTCTCCTTAGCTTGGAGGAGACTGAGAGGTAACCTCGTTAACATTTATAAATATGTAAAGGGTGTGTGTCAGGAGGATGGAGCCAGAGTCTTCTCAGTGACATCCAGTGACAGGACAAGGGCAATGGGTACAAGCAGTAACATAGGAAGTTCCACATAAATATGAGAAAAAACTTCTTCATGGTGAGGGCAACAGAACACTGGAGTGGGCTGCCCAGAGAGGTTGTGGGGCCTCCTCTGATGACACTCAAAATTTGCCTGGACACATTTCTCTATGACCTAATCCAGGTGTTCCTGCTAAGGCGAGGGGATTGCACTAGATGAGTTTTAGAGGTTCCTTCTGTATGGGAAGTGCTGAGTTACAGCCTGAACCTCTGATTGATCACCTGAGGTGAGCAATGAGTCAGCCAGAGGAGCACAGGTGAAGGTTATTCACCCGTGCTGCCAGAAGGGGTGGAGCCAGTCTCCAACCCTCCTAGACCTATTTAAGAGCTGGCTACAAGTAGAGAAGAATCTCATCTGGAGATCTTCTCTGCTAGAGTTTTATAGGTGAGCCCAGGATGTGGGTAAGATTTCAATCCTCTTCTTGTTATCATTATCTGATTTACCAAACTCTATTGTTTATTTTGTAATTATAACGTCTTAATATTGATTGATTATAGACCCTCTGTGATTCTGTAAGTGGTATAGAGAAAAAAAAAGCAGCTATTAAAATGAACACTTGATTAAAAAAAACACTCTTCACATCTTAGAAAAGATTCTGGCATTTAGATATTTATTAAAAACTAATACAATTTCTTTAGCTCATTCTCTCTTCTCTCCTCTCTCTGTTCACTTCTCTCCCCTCCTTGCCTTAAACACTGTTTTTCAACATAGCCACCATCATGAGCTCTGCATTTTTGCCACTCACGAACAACAGCCTGCATGTCATGCTCATAAAAATTGCACCATTAGAGGTGACCTGCTGCTGCTGTCACCACTGCTGAAACATACCACCCATGGCTTCACTATGCTCCCATCTACTGTTTTTGGTCTCCATAAACATTCAGCAAGCATCAATGAATGTCACTGGGTGTCCTTCTTTTCCCGCATGGAGGAACTGAATGACACACTTCACATGCACTTCCATGTCGGATGCCAATTTGTCAGACTGTCCCACTGCTAACGCCTATCACACAGCAATAAAATGTAACAGAATATTTGTGGTAAGGTTCAACGTCTACTACCATACTGCCAACATCTGCCTCTGACATCTCAGGTCAACGTGACAAAATAGGAGGCATTACTTTCAGAGTAACCCTCATAGTTTCACTATGGTGTCTATTACTCCACCTAAGCCAGTAACATGGTTGATTCTTGATTAGACAGCTTTGATTCCAGATGGCTTTTATGTTCTTTAAAGCAGGTAGTCCAGCAAAAGAGAATTTATGATAGTGTACTTAGGTAGATATTATTGAATGCCTTGCTTCATGCTTGCAAGGGGCAAACATTAGAGAGGCCAACGTGGGGAAAAAAAAAAAAAAAGGTGGTAGATGGATTTCTAGAGAACTTTATGTATATTTATCAATGAATATGTAAATGTGTTATTCCATCTCACACCTTTGAAAGGCTTACTGTAGCAAAGACTAGGATTAGAATATTTTTTGTAGTTTGAGTACTCTAAGTTGTACATACTAAGTCACACAGGCCATTAGACAGCACCTAACGTGCAGGATAAGGGAATTCAAGATGGTAAATCAGCCATAGTGGGAGCTCAACTCAAATGTCTGCATACTAATGCATGAAGCAAGGGGAACAAGCAAGAGGAGTTGCAGGCATACATATACCTACAGGGCTATGATGTCATTAGCATCACTGAGACACGATGGGATGGCTCTCAGGACTGGACTGTACGAATAGACTCCTCAGGGAGTCTAGTGATCCTTGCCTTGCTTTTCCCCTCCTTGGCTTGCTTTTCCCCTCCTTGCCTCCAGCTCTATCATTGAAGTGAAGACTCTCTTATTCTCCTCCATGTCTCCCTAGAAAAACAAGAGTCACAATTTCAGTAATTTTTACCTCAAACAGCCTTTGAGGGGGGGAAAAAAAAAATGTTTCTTTCTCCCGGGATCTCTCTGGTAGAGGCAAGCTACAGCTGTGACCGCAGCTTCAGCTAAAGCCGGAGTGCCAGTACCTGTCTGTGGGCCCATGCAGCTGGAAGAAGTTGTCGATCATGACTTCTGTGTGACAGCTTGTGAGGATGACCACTGCCTGGCACAGGAAGGGCATGGATGTGCTCTGCTGCACAGATGATGTGTAGCTGTGCAGGATGTAGAGGATTGGAGACACCTGAAAGAAGAAGGGGAGAAAGAATGACTTGCTGCATCCTTGACTCTGCAGGGAGTAACCACGGACATTCAGTGCATGAGTGGTGCCTGCTCCCTTGACATGCTGCCAAGGCCTAAGCCTAAATTTCATGCCAGCCACCCTGTCCATGCCCTGGCTCAGCGTTCAGGCTGTGCTTCTTCAGCACAAGAGGAAAGCAGCACAAGGCATAGTGCAACAGCTAGCAAAAGTGCCAGACACGTGGAAGAAAGTCTCTTACATCCCAACAGATGTCCTTTCTGTACATCTGCAGAAAGGTGGTCATCTACTTCCCAGCAGCACGCACACGCACTCCTTTGGCTCTCCTGAAGGTCTCCTTGATGGCCATCATGAAGTCAACGGTGCGTTCTAGAGGGAAGTTTCTGCACATGATCTGCAGAGAAATGAGAAGCAAGGGAGATCCTATCACTGCTCTGCGGCAGCTCTTCAAAACATAAAGCAGTCTTGAGGGCATTCTTAATTCAGCTGCTTGCCAGTCATTCATGCAGCAATCACAATGCTCCTGCTGTCTGTACCCTGCTGTTTATACAGCATTCTCTCAGCTTCTCCACCCATGGTGTTTGCTTACATGCAAAGCCTACCTCCCAGCAGCCACAGTCACACATGCCACAAAGACACACAGTCACACACAAACACACATGGAGTCAGCTCCTTGCACTGGGCACCTGAAGGCCAGGCATAGCTCAGAGCCTTCTGCTACTTGCTGAGAAAAGCAGTCTCAGGGTGACAGCTCATTCCGCTGTCATCAGTGCAGGGTTGTGCACCACTCCCTCCTGTAAACAGGACCCAGCCCGTGGGGCTCTGGTAGTGCTGCGGGGGAGGGCAGAGGACTGGCGCACGCCTGCTCTACTCACCTTGGATTTGGAGAAGGGAGCTGAGGCAGGTGACAGCCAACTGGTGGGATGTGGGCATGGGGTCACACATCAGAGGTGCCAGCAATCCCACCAAGGAGCCAAAGTGCTCCTAGGCATCTCCTCTCTGCAGGGGTGAGAGGCAGGAATAAATCTGTAGGTGGCCCCAGCTTCTCCTGCCTGTGCCTTCCCCACACTGTGACACAGCATGCACAGCTGAGTGGAGCTCACCTGCTAGCTCAGGGGCACAGGGGAGGGAGCAGAGGGCATGTGGTGGGGCTCTTTACTCACTTGAAACTCTTCACAAACAGTCAGCAGCTGGGAGCAGGTCTGCAGGGCCCTCTTGTGCTCCCACACATTGTCTGATGTCATAGATCTCTGCAGGACCTGTGGCAGAGCATCTGTCTCACTGAGGACGTCTTTTCTTTCCCTTCCTCCCACCCCTCTCCCTGTCCCTCCTTTCCTGACACTTTTCCTCAGGGCCCCCTGCACCACCACTGCTGCTCCTGCTCTCTGCAGACACTCCTGCCTCCTAACCCAGGAGCTTTTCCTTGGCTGTGGCTTGCCCCAGGCATGGGCTCCTGCCTTTCCCCCTGCAGGGCCCATTTCCCTGCCCATTTTTGAGCTTGCAGTGAGCTGTGTGGCAGCAGGAGATTTCTCCCCCTCTGACCGCCCTCTCAGTCCCCAGATCTCTGTCCCCGCTGTTGACAGTTACCATGCTTTCTCCCTTACCCCCCCACATACTCACATGGACTATGTTCTGGAAAAAGCCACAGGTGGGCTCTGTCTTGAGCAGAACTGCCATAAGCTGGCCCAAAGATTTCAGTGATGTTTGCTGAAGCTGAAAGCAGAAGAGGGGATTGAGGTGTGGCATCGTGGCTGCTGCCAGAGCATAGGTTGTGTGTGCTGAGATAGGGCTCTGACCAAGAGGTGGCCGAGAAAGTTATGATAGGTTACCTGCAGGTACTGAGCTGCTTGCTGTGACTTTCTGATCTTCAGCATCATCTCTGCTGAAGGGTGCATCACAATGTTCTTGCAGCACAGAATCAATATTTCACGCTTTCTAAAGAGGGCTTCAGCTTGCTGACAGGAGGAAAAAAGGAGAAAGCAGTGAACTACTCCTGCTCTGAAGGGAAGGAGACCCCAGGTCTGCCTTCTCTTCCCTGCAAGGGAACAGAAGCACCAGGGCCTTTCTCCCTGCCCAGAATCTCAGCTTCTCTGGGCACAACAGCCCAGCTGTCTCTCCTGTAGATGCAGCTCCTCCCCCCAGCCCCTCCACGCCTTTGGCAGCTATCCAAAATGGGGACCATCATCCTGCCTTGCAACCCCAGACCTTATCTCAACTGCTCCAGGGCCAGAACCAACTTGAGGGGCACTGGGGAGACAGGGATTCCTGAGTAGTAGTACTTCAGCAAGTCCTGCAAGTCCCAGAGAGACAGTGTCAAAGTGGGCAAGAGGCACACGAGAGCTGTTCTGTCTGGCCCAGAGACAGACACAACTGCCACACACCAGCCCCATCACTCCCACATTTCCCATGGTGACACTGCAGGATGCAGCATCTCCACGGCTGGTGGACCTCGCCTGCTGCCCAGCTGCTGCCTGCCAGCACCCAAGGTCCCCACCAGCTGGAGACATGGCTGAAGGAGACCTTTATGCCTCCAGAGAAGCGAGCCCCGTGGCACAGCCAGGAACTCTACTGCAGACAGCCCTGTCTCTAGGCACTCACCATCAGGATCTCCAGAAGCTTGCCCTTGAAGGAAGGGTTAAAGCAGGCAGAGTCATCCACAGCTTGCAAGGCTGAGCTGAAGTCGGTGATGCTCTGCACCAGCGCAAGGTTGTTCTGCAAGTCCTGAGGCCCAAGAGAGAAGAACATGCTTTGAATTGCGGGAAGGGCCGAGGGCTGCAAGGGGGACACGTGGGCAATGCTGAGGGAAAGCTTGGATTTTCATCTGGGCACAGACGGTCCCCCAAGGGACCTTTGAAAAGAGAAGGCCCATCTCAGCATCCCCCCATTTGGAGGGGCTGCATCGGGTGCTCAGACACCCTGGCACGCTTCAAGTTCTCACCTGGCAGCTGCAGCTGTAGAGCATCAGGATGTTGCCCACGATGTCTCCCTCCAGGTGGACAAGCAGCTGTTCCTTGGAGGCACGCAGTGCCAAGCTGCCATGAGCGAGCATGAGAGCGCTGCGTGTGGCATGAGCTCTCGTGCTGTCCAGCTCCATCTGTGTGGGGAGAAATGCCTTGAGTCACTTGCTCCACGGTCCCCAGTGCCCCGCGATGCACCTGTGCTCCCAAGGCAGGAGCTGCTGCGAAAATAAGGCAGAAGAATGCCAAGATAGAAACCCGTAACACTTTACCTTCTTGTGCCTGGAAATCCTCGCATTCCAGCCTGTGCACAGCCTGGATGCAAACACGGTGAGTGTGTCCAGGACTGGGTGGAATTTGCCCTCAGCAGCATGGCTGAGAAGAGAGATTATTCCCTGCACAAAAGAGCAGTTGGCGCAGGCCTGAACCTACTGGTGCGGCCAACCACAGTGACTGGCCGGTCCTTGCCTGAGGGAAATGGCAGCAGTGAGGAGATCAAAAGGCCTGGAGCAGGGCCAGGAGAAGCCCTCTGCCCCAGGGATGGAGCAGGGATGCTCACAGAAGCTGGAGGAGAGCTCACCTGGGCCTCCGATGGCTCCTCCGCATTTGCTTCCTCCAAGTGCTGCAGCAGCTTCTCTTGGACGTGGAGGACTCCCTTACAAGCTCCCAGTGCTGTCCCCAGAGCCTTGTACAGGAAAGCCTGATGGGAAGGGAAGGAAGAAGCTGAGATGTGGCAGCAGCCTGACCTGCTGGGAGAGGGCCAGGTGGGAAGGACCCACTTCCTGGGAGTCACTGAGAGCAGCTGCAGGGCCGAGCTTTAGCAGCCTCCGGGCAGACTGCAGGGAAAGGCCCTCTGGGGGGCACGGACCAGGGAAGCAGCATGAGCAGCCCGCGTGGGCAGAGCACCAGCCGCAGCTCCAGCCCCAGTAGGGCACCTGCAGCTGAACTGCTGGGTAGAGCCAGGGGGAACCCACCTTTTCTCCAGAGCTGCTGGGAGAACTGCTCAGCCACCGGCTCAGCTCGCAGCTCAGGGCCTCGATCCAGGCCTCATCACTGATGGTGTCCAGTGACGCCCTCAGGAACTGTTGGAGAACAGGAGAAGCCAAAGTTCCCTTGCCCTCTGCCTCTTCCCTTGCTCCCAAGTTGCTGCAGACTTCTGGGGAGAATGCCTGCAAGAACAGTCTCTCTCCCAGCTGCCCCAGCATTCCCTCCATTAAAGCCGCCTGCCTCTCTTCTCCTAAGGCCCCCCAGGCTTGGGACAGAGAGGAACAGGCAGCACCACAAAGGCGTACAGCTGCTCCGCTGCAGCATTTGAGAAGCTGTTCCTGTCCCACAGTGGCTCATATGGGAGCAGGGCTCCTTGAGGCAGGCAAGCACTTCTCTGCACCGCGCCTCCCAGCACTGCTGTACCTTTAGCAGATGGCACTCCCACTCTGCAGGGTCCGGGAAGCTCTCATCTTTCCCTGCACAGCAATAGGAAGCAAAAGACCTTTACTTGGGGTCAGGTCACAAATGAAGAGCTGCTGCAAACTTGGCTTGGCCAGGGCACTCGACGCTGCCAAGCTGGGACCCACACTCCCTCCACAGTGTCCCTGTCCTCAAACACTGTCCCCACAGGAACACAGAACTAACTGCTCAGATTGCTGTCTGAGGGGACATGAAGGGCCCATCCGTGTTCTGGAACGGGCAGATCCCTGGGGGGAAAGGTCCCTGGGCCTCAGCCCTGGAATGGGAACAGCAGCAGAGCAAGCACCGGGCTGCAGGAAACGCTTCCCCTCTGCCATGCTATAGAGCTGCATTTTCACTCCCCCCCTCCTTCCCTGCCTTGGCCTCTCCTTCCCCATCAGCGCTTTTTACCTTGGAGACACTGCAGCAGCAGGGGGATCTCAGCAGCCCACATGGCCCCCACAGCTCTGTGGAACCTCTTGTGGAGGTTTTGCATCAGCAGCAAGGCAGTGACTTGGAGTCTGCTGCCTGCAACAGGGTCCCAGACACCACCTGAGCGAGAGCAAGGAGAAGCAGGGTCACTTCTGCAGCAAGAGCAGAGGGAAGCAGCTTGGCTCTGCCCTGGCAGGCAAGGAGCAGCCAACAGCTTTGCCCATGGCCATGCTGCTTCCTCCGCGGGGGGGAGTGGGGGGGGCTCGTGGCACTGGCCTCTGGAGCATCTACTCACCAACAGGCATGCCAGCAGTGTCTGGGAAGTCAGCAGTGGGCCTGCAAGGAGAAAGAAGTGCTGAGTAAGACTCCAAGACACTCCATGCCCTGCCACAATCAGCTCCTCTGTCCCTTCTGGGTGCTAACACAGATCAGCAGAGCTCAATGGGGGAGTTTCTGCTCCTACCTTGAAACATGGAGCTGACAAAATGAGGATCCAGATGTCCTGTCAGGTCCTCTCTCTCAGCCAGGGTTTGGACACAACGAGAGACTGGAATCAGCATGCCCATGTACTGGGCTGGCACCACAAACAGCAACAGCCACGGCCACAGGAGCTGTAGGGAATGAGGCATTCCTGCCTCTGCTCAAAGATGAAGAGGACTCAGTGAGTTTCCCTGAGTCTTGTGTGCTTCAGAGCACGTTGGAGGAGGGACCTGGGGTGTTGGAATGGGATGAGGAACACGTGATGTGAAGGCAAGGAGCATCAGGAGGGCCTCTCACAGAGACATGCAGTGACTCCAGGATGCCCACGCACAGCTCCTGGAGAGCTCCTTCTTCCTTGGCTTCCTGGGCAGAAAGGTCTCCGGCTGCCTGCACAACAGTGGTGTTGAAACACCGGTTACTCTCAGTTCTCAGGAGCCTCTCAGGAGGCTCAGGTGTGGCCCCACCGGAGCTTCTGTGCCAGCCTCTGACAGCACGGGGTCTTCCAACAGAAGGTGCTGCCTACTGTCCTTACCCTTCTTCCTGTGGCGCGGCTGAACTCATTGAAGATGTGCCCCACCACATCCCAAGCTGAGGAGATCCTTGATGAAATACAGAACAGCCCTCCTCACCTGCAGGGGTCAATTGTGGGTGTGATTTTCCTGGTCAGAAGGCAAAGGGAAGCCACCTGCTCATCGGGGCAGCCCTTTGGGCATGAGCACAGACAGCAAGAGCAGAGGCCCATGCACAGCACAGGGACCCATCCTCTCCTCTCTGCCTGCTCTTCCCACAGGAGCCATAGTGACCATGTGGTCAATGCCCCAGCAACCTCCCTGGTCACCCCTGCCCTGCCCGTGTCAGTAGGAGCATCACCACCCCAAAAGCACTTTCCTTTCCCAAAAGAGCTTGCCTGAGTCCTGGAGTCATTGCACACACGCTGCACAGCCTCTGCAACCTGGGGCAGCATCTCTGTCATCACAGGCTCTGCAAGAGATGCACAGAAACATGCGTGGAGGCACAACCCAGATGGCAAAGGGATCCCTGGAAGTACCAACCCGTGGTACTTACCATCAGAGCAAACCAGAGCACTGAGCAGACCCAGGGCTGCCACACGTCCAGCCTCCCACTCATCGCCCAGCTGTGACTGCAGAAACAGGAGCGTTTCCTCTGGGCAGATTCGGGCTGCAGGAAGGAAATCCCACACTATGTTAGCGAGCAACTCATGTCCACTTGTGAGGTTTGAGAGAGAGGTTTTGGCCAGGGCTCTGGCAAGCATAGGGCTCACAGATGTAAAACTTAGAATAGAAAACATGGTTTGTGAGTTTTCTTAGTCTTGTAGTACAAGAGGAGGAAAACTATGAAGTTGAAAACTAGTCTATTTGGAGCTAAGTGTTATCTTCTCATCAAAGAACAAGATAGACTGCAAGACTGGATGTTACTGAGGTCACACAGTGAGGGTCTCATAGAAAGTGCAGTATTCTCCTGTCCTCAATTACTATTTCTGGATATTGATGCAATTCATTTAAAAAGTACTGAAAAACAGGCTGAAACACAAGGTTTAAACAAGCTAGGATGAATTCTCCATCACCCCAATTCTGTTGAAAATATGTTGGGGTTCAGGGTTTTTTTGTTCTGTTTTTTCTCAGAAGCATGGGGAATCAGCAAGTTAGATGTGCACAATTGGGCTAAATGAACATAATGCAGTATGGCACGTTACATGCTCCAGTGAGCTCAGCATTTTCTTCGAAATAAAACTAGGTTTAGCCCACAGAGAGAGCATGTCAGTGATCAAACTATACTTGCCTCCAGGAAAAACAGGAGGAAGAATATCTAAGGTTTAATTCTATAAAATGGAGTTTCAAAGAGACTACTGAAGTGCACATAATTGCTCCAAACTCTTTCTTTCTGAAAGGTCAGTTCTTAGTTCCCTTCAGGAGAGTGTAAGAAATACGAGTTACACAACTCGTGAGAAAGTCCTCTGTTTCTGTAGGAGGTCAGTTCTAGACAACGTAGGCTGTTGGGAATTTCATACATGCAGAGACCTATTTCAGGTGTTACTGTACAACTGATAGGGCTCAAAACCTTGTTCCCAAGTGCAACAGCCCATGCAAATGTTGGATTAGATTTGTGCTTACAGTTCATCTTAGTGATTACATTTTATAACTTAAAATGTAATCTCCAGCTGTTAAGGCCTTAGAGAGGTACCAGTCCTTATGGAAAGCTCTGTGACAATTCCACCCCAAATTCTTTACAGTCCTTTGCATTTACAAAGACTGTTTTTAATATTTTCTCTTTTCTTATGATGACACTACTCCTACTACTATATATGGAAAAATAGAATCCAGCTTTTAGGGTAAGTTCATCTTTCAATAGCAGCCAAGTCACACTACTCCTGCTAGTGTGGCAGGGCAGAAGATAACTTTTTTTTACATAAGTGCCCTTTTCATTAGTAGTTTTATGATAACACTGAAAGACTATGTCCAGCTGGACATAGCACATACAGTAAAATACAGAAACAGAGTGTACTGTTACAATGATTTTCCAAGCAAAATGAAGATTTGCCCAACACCTACACAGGGGCTTTTAATCCAAATACTGAAAGTAAAAGTAGTAGTTGTGCTGCCAGCTGCACTGACATGGAGGGCATTCAGTGTTCACTTCTTCACCTTGGCATAGCCCAATTCTTGGCACAGCCCAATTCTTGGCATGGCCTAACTCTTTCTGCCTTTTCAGACTGGGTATTAAATGGTAGAATAAATATCTCTACTGCAGTTTCAGCTAGAACTTGTGCCACTGCAACCAGTGCAGCTGCTGAGAATGCTCCTGGAATATCTTCATCAAGACACGAGCCTCTGGAACACTCTGTATGTAAGGCTCAGGCATTCTTCAGAATGTTAGTTTGACAGACGTCATTTGCTTTTCCTCACTTTTTCAGCATCCCTGGAAGATACTTTTATTTGCTGACATTTTTCTTTATCAGTTTAAGATACTCAAACTGCTAATTTGTGTATAAAAATATCTAGAAATTTGTTCCAAAAATTTTTGTATAGCACCTGAAGCAACCTGTTACTCAAATGTTAACTGCATTCTTTTGCAGTAAGCTAAAATAGGCAGCAAAGTTAGTCTCACAAGACCTATGAGTCTCACTAGCAGTCCTGGTGCATTTGAAGAATTGATCCCGTGCTTTCTGGTTTGCAGAATTGGCCATCTAGATTTTTCCATGTGAAATCTAACCACTGGGCTCATATTCTTCTTATCCAGTGAGCAAGGCCACTAACAAATTTGTGCATTGGGAAAGATGAATAACTCAGCAAATTAAGGAAGATAGATTACAGCATACTGTTTACCCTAAACTAAGCTGGCACAATTACCTTTCTTTACACAAGACGTAAGAGCTCAAGCAAAAAAATTAGAATTTCTTTCAGATTTTTTTCTTGCGAAGCAGAGGAAGATGCACACTGCACATGAGGATGTGGGTAGGCTTGGTTTCTCGTGCAGTGTGCATGAGTATATCCCAATCTTCTTTGAATGAAAGCTCTGTGTTCTTCCTCTGGAACAGATCGAGAGGCTCTGGTGTACAGGGGTGCTGCTGTATCTGCTTTCTATTGTATTTATAATCAAATAGAATCATAGAGTCATTAAGGTTGGAAAAGTTTACTAAGATCATCCAGTCCAATGATCAAACCATCCCCACCATGCCCACTGACCACATCCCTCAGTGCCACAACTCCACATTTTTTTAACAGGTACCTGCACCACCTCCCTGGGCAGCCTGTGCCACTGCCTCACTACTCTTCCTGAGAAGAAATCTTTCCTACAAACCAATCTGAACATCCTCCCACCCAACCCCCAGTACAACTTGAGCCCATTCCATCTCATCCTTTCAGGCAGTTACAGAGAGCAGTAAAATCTCCCCTGAGCCTCCTCTTCTCCAGACTGAACAATCCCAGCTCCCTCAGCTGCTCCCCATAAGCCTTGTGCTCCAGACCCTTCACAGCTTTACTGCCCTTCTCTGGACACGCTCCAGGACCTCAGTGTCTTTCTTGTAGTGAGATGCCCAGAACTGAATACAATATTTGAGGTGCAGCCTTACCACTGGCAAGTACAGAGGGACAGTCACCTCCGTAATCATTAAATACAAGCATCAAATAAAAGCACAGAGTTCTGTGTTCTTGTGTTTGAACTACAACTTTTTGATTCAGTAAAATATGATATTTGTAATAGTACATATAAAAATTCGAGTTTTTACTTAGGCTGTTCTAGCAGCATTTTGGTTGTCTGTGCAGTGCAAGCAAGTCTTTAGAACACAACTGTTCATATGTTTGCTGGAGAATTTTGTGTTTCATACATACCCTTTGAAGTATTAAACATCAAGAGAATCATAGAATCCTAGAATTAGAGTTGGAAGTGACCTCTGAGGGCCTTCTAGGGCACAGCTAGATCAGGTTGCCCAGGGCCTGATCCAGCCTCACCTTGAAAGTCTCCAAGGATGGAACATTCACCACATCTCTGAGCAATCTGCGCCAGTGCCTCACCACCCCACTGTAAAAGACTTTTCCTATCTAACCTGAATCTCCCCTCTTTAAGCTTGAAACTGTTTCCCCTAGTTCTATCACAACCGACTGCTAAAGAGTCTGTCTCCTTCCCTGTATTTCCCCTTTAGATACTGAAAAGCTGATCTCAGGTCACCTCAGAGCCTTCTCTTCTCCAGGCTGCACAGCCTCAGCTCTCAGCCTGTCCTTGTAGGGAGGTGTTCCATCCCTTGGATCATTTTTGTGGCCCTCCTTGGGACACACTCCAACAGGCCCATGTCTCTCCAGTGCTGAGGACTCCCCACCTGCATGCAGTACTGCAGGGGAGGCCTCAGCAGCACAGAGCAGAGGGGCGGGAAGAGGTGCAAAAGGAAACATTCAGATTACATAATTGCCTGTCCCAGCTAACAAACAGCAGAAGTTCTATAGACAATCAGGTCTGCAATGGCTACAACAATCTCAGCTCAGGAGATGCCTCCCCCT